CTTTGTTTCAGTACAACTAAAAAACAGCCACTCTCCAAAACTCAGGATGTATTCAGGCATCACAACAGACCGTGGTTTGATTTAGTCCCAGTTAGCTGCAGCATCTAAATCCAGATGGTTCGACAAACCTTGGTTTGGGTGGGTGGCACCACACCAGGATTTCACCCTAGGGTTGGTAGCTAGCTTTTTTAACCACAGTTTGTGCTGTTTACGGTTTCTTGTGACATCTGAATTCACAGACTGCAGTTTGTTGAGGAGCCCTGCCCCATGGGGCCCCAGAGACTGCAACAGAGGTAGGATGACCTCCTAGCTGCGGGGGTGGGAGCAGAAGCAAGAGGCAGGCAACCCAGGATTTGCACACAAGCCAGAACTAATGACTTACAGCTGGTAGAGCTCCTTTCGCAAGTCACAGTTCTGACCGAGTCACGGTTTCTTGTGGCAACTGAATGCAGCCTGTAGTCTGTGAGATATAAAGCTGGGAGAGACCAGCCGTTGGAATAGCAATCCTTCTGCCACTCTGAGTTTTAGCAAGTAAAACCGGCATGAACTGGTCGAGTATCCAAACTGCAAAGCCGATACAGAAAATGGCATTTGACCCCAGAGTTCGAGGGAGGGGGAGAACACATTAGCGTTTTGCAAAACTCCTCTGTGACTTTGCACTTCTGTATGAATTCTTGCCTGCGCACCTGATTTATTGGTCTGGACTTGACCTTCTGTTCCGGCCAAGACCAATGCCCTCGAAGGGAACTTTAAATCTTCCCACGAGTTTGTTGATGTTGGGATTTTCCTTTTTTTTTTTTTTTTAAAAAAAAACAATTTTATTAGGATATACTAATAGGTCAAACATACATCACATTAAAATATCATATATCCTTTTCTCCTATTTCCCCACCCCTTCTGACTTCCCGCAGTGCTCCAACCTCCAACCCATATCTTATATTCCCCACTTCTCTTCCTTACTCCTTAATCAAATTCTATAGGTAACAAATCTTTTAACTAATATTCTTCTACATTTACACTTGGCAAAATGACAAGAAAGCTTAAAAATCTGGAAGCAGAAGAATTTTTTGAAGATTGGAAAGACTTTAAAGAATATTTAGAGAAGTACTGGGATGTAAAGAATAATTTACTTTGCTTTGAGAATTATTGAAAAGAGTTTGACCTTAGAAGAAGTGTTGGGGTTTTCTTTTCGTTTGCTTCTTCCCTTCCAAAGGACAGGCACCATCCTGCCTACCAGGGAGGGAAGAGCAGAGCAGAGCCGGCATTTCTCTCGCTGACAACTCCAGAGCTGCCTTCCATGTCGATTTTTGATGAAAGCCTTTAATTAGGTGACCCTTGGTCTCCCTCCCCAGATGGCCAGGCCCTTGCGTTCCACTGCAGTCTAATTATCGCCATCGCTCAGCCGGCCAAACAGCCGGCGGATTTCATTTTAAAAACGAGAAAATCTTTCCCACTTTGTGTCCATAAATATTTTTTTTATCGGCTCTTTTCTGAATTGATACACAACAGCGTGTGGGGGGTGGCTTTCCTCCAGGCTCGGAATGCTGAACCTTTGGCTATAAACCCTTAAGAACATAACAAGAGTCCTGCTGGATCAGACCAATAGTCCATCTAGCCCAGCCTCCTGTCTCACACAGTGGCCAACCAGTTCCTTTGGGGGCCAACAACAGGACACAGAGGCTGAGGCCTTCCTAAGAACATAAGAAGAGCCCTGCTGGATCAGACCTGTAGTCCATCTAGTCCAGAAGACATTGGATTTATATCCCACCCTTCACTGCCTGAAGGAGTCTCAGAGCAATTTACCTTCCCTTCCCCACAACAGACACCCTGTGAGGTAAGTGGGACTGAGAGAGCTCTTTTGAGGGCTTCTTTTGAGAAAACAGCCCTGAGAGAACTTGTGACTGACCCAAGGTCGCACCAGCAGCTGCATGTGGAGAAGTGGGGGATCAAACCCGGATCTCCCAGATTAGAGTATGAGCTTTTAACCCCTACACCATCTCTGGAGGCTGGCCAACCCTATTTAATGGGGCTGGCCCATTTTAGACTCTGCGAGATTCACATTACTGTTGGTCTTGTAGGAAAGGTGCAAACATTCTGTATTTTTCCTTCTAAATGTTAGTCCTGTCCCTCCCTTTCCAGAACGGGACTCCGGCCGGGTAGCAATCTATGGCTTGGATCAACAGATAAGGTAACATCTGCTGATGGACAGGATTTCTGTCCACGGAGCGTGGCTCCTTTGACTCCCCTCTCCGGCTGCAGCCCAAACTGCGCCCCCAATACTCGCACTGGGGGGTGGGAGGTCAAAGAAACAGCATGGTGGTGGAGTCAGCTGAAATCACTGCCTCCTTCTGTTCCTGGACATCCTTCGTAGGACCCAGCCATTCAAAAGTCACCATCAAAACTTAATAGCAATTGTGCATCAGAATCTGGAGAGGGATTTCGCCTAGAATCTATGGTATACCATAGAGTTTGCCACTTTCTCCAGGGGAACGGATCTCTGTAGTGGGGAGATGAGTTGTAACTCTGGGAGGACCCAGAACAACCTGGCGGGGAGGAGAGGGAGGTGTTCCTAGGGATGCCAGCTCTGGGTTGGGAAATCCCTGGAGATTTTGGGGGATTCCAGAGGCCTTGAAATAGATACAGAAAGTGACTGGGAGATTTGGTTAGTATAGCAGAGGCTTGGCCCAGTCATAGAAGCAGGATCCTGAGTGCAGCAAATAAGTCTCCCAAGAAGTAGATTGCAAAAACTGACATTGATCCAAGTAGATCCAGCTCACATTCAGGTTGCCGTCGAAAGGGGAGAGAGAAGCCTAATCTAAAGAGTCCTTTCCCGGTCACAAATGGCCAGCCTGTCTGGCATCATGTGTGTGGGAGGATGAGGGCACCGTCTCTACAGGCGACCTGCAGAGACATGTCTCTCCGTGGAAGGCCATGTAGAGAGAGGGAGTGGACAAAGTGAGCGGGCGAGAGGAGGTGTCAGAGGGCAGCTCCCAGGTTAAGAAAAAGAGAGGCATCCCATTCAAGGAGACACCACATGTATACGCATTTAGATGTAGCCACCTCCCCATGTCCAGACATGCGGAATCTCTAACAAAGGTAGCACGTCCAACTCATCTTGTCTGTCTTCTTTGCTGATCTCTGTGCCCCCCTCCTGTTTTATCCTTGATGAAGCTGCCTTATACTGAATCAGACCACTGGTCCATCAAGGTCAGTATTGTCTACTCAGCAGGGGTCATTTCGTAGAAAAAGAGGTGCAGGAGCTCATTAGCAGAACTCATTTGCATATGCCACACCCCCTGACATCACTGGAAGTGTGTCAGAAGGCAACACCCACCGCTCAGGCTCCACTGGACTGTTTTGGATTGCTAGCTATTGGGGGGGGGGGAGGAACGTGCAGATCTGCCCTCGCAGAGGAGGGAGAGCTTGTGCCTGAATAAAACTTGGTCTTAGAGGTGCCACTGGACTGTTTGGGACTGGGGGGGCGGGGGACGCTCTGCAACTTACCTGGCTGCTTCTTGCTCTGACTGAGGGCTGCTGGGAGCAGGGGGTGGGGCTTGTTGCATGTGCCCGCCCCCTGGGCTCTTTACTGCCGGAGCTCCGCTCCTGTGCGCTCCTGCAGGAAATGACCCCTGCTACTCAGTATTGTCTACTCAGGCTGGCAGCCACTCTCCAGGGCCTCAGGCAGAGCTCTTTCCCGTCACCTACTACCTAATTTTATTTTAATGCTGGAGATACCCAGGATTGAACCTGGGACCTTCTGCATGCCAAGCAGATGCTCTACCACTGAGCTACAGCTCCTCCATGTATTTATGCCCCATCATATTTTGGCAGCCAGATTGGCTGCTGCAGTTAAACTCCATCATGCTGCCCATATGTGAGGACAAGGAGAGCCGAGCCAGTGTGGTACAGTGGTTAAGAGTGCTGGACTAGGAGCTGGGAGACCCAGGTTCGAATCCCCACTCTGCCATGGAAGCTCGCTGGGCGAACTTGGGCCTGTCACATGCTCTCAGCCTAACCTACCTCACAGGGTTGTGGTGAGGATCAAGTGGAGGGGAGGAGAAAGATCTAAGCTGCTTTGGGTCCCTATTGGGGGGAGTGGCGGGGTACAAATGAAGTAAGTTAAAAAACAATAACTTTTCCACCCAGAGATGTAACAGCTAGAGATCAGGGAAAGGAGGCTGGACCCTGGAGGATAGCAATTAGCACGAACAAATGGCTTTCACAAGGCGTCCTCAAAAAGGAAAAAATTGGGTTGGTGATTTACTTGGGACAAGGAGTTCAAAATAAGGGCTGCCTAACAGGGACAAGGAATAGATGCTTTCGAATGATGATGCTGGAGAAGACTCTTGAGAGTCCCTTGGACTGCAAGGAGATCAAAGTCAATCCTAAAAGAAACCAACCCTGATTGATCCCTGGAAGGCCAGATACTGAAGCCGAAGCTCAAATACTTTGGCCACCAAATTTTATTTATTTATGAGAAGGGAGCACTCGCTGGAGAAGACCCTGATGCTGGGAAAGACTGAAGGTAACAGAAGAGGGGGGTGGCAAAGAATGAGATGGTTAGACAGTGTTCTCGATGCAATGAACATGAAATAGAGCAAACTCCAGAGGATGACAGAAGGCAGGAGGGCCTGGTGTGATATGGTCCATGGGGTCGCGAAGAGTCCGACTCGACTGTGCGACTGAACAACAACAACAACAGGGGCAGCTGGAGTGTGTGCTATAAAGTCGATTCCAGTTTGTGGCGCGAATACCCCTAAATGTAAAACATAGCCGAGGTCACTGTGCCCCATCTTGCTGAACTACAGTCCCAAGGATTCTTGCGAGGCAGACGGGGACAGTTCAAGGGGACTACAATTGTGGTCACTCACGTGGGCGTTGCCCGTTTGTGATGTCAGCATGCTAGAACAGTGGATCGCCAGACATTCCAACCCGAGGCAGAGATCTCCCATGGAAGTCACCTGACTGCCAGCATTGGTGGCCGTTCTGCAGACGGAGCGATGTTCGATACAAAAGTCTTACTGATGCCCGCCGTTATTGTGGACAATGGATCCGGGTCGTGTAAAGCCGGGATCTCGGGTGAACTGGAGCCGCGGGCAGCTGTCCCGTCGGTGGTCGGCAACCTCAAAGAGAACATGGAGCAACGCTACATCGGGGCAAAAGCCCTCTCCAAGAAGGGCAGCTCGGTTTTGAATTATCCTGTTGAGCGCGGCATGATTACTCACTGGGATGACATGGAGATGCTCTGGAGATATATCTACCGGCACGAGCTTAAAGTGAAAGCCAGCGAGAGGCCCGTACTTCTCTCAGAACCCCCCCTGAATCCTCTTCGGAAACGGGAAGTAATGACAGAGTTGATGTTCGAACGCTTCAAAGTACCGGCTTTGTACCTCGCCATCCAAGCCACTTTGGCGCTTTACGCGTCGGCACGTACCACTGGGTTGGTGGTGGACGCCGGAGATGGGGTAACTCACGCCGTCCCCATCTATGATGGCTACTGTCTACCTCACGGGGTGTCCAGGCTCGACATTGCAGGAAGGGACATTACCAGATACCTCACCCATCTCCTTTTGGACAACAGCCATTTGTCGGTGAACAGAGCGAAGGAGACCACGGTGAAGGACATCAAGGAGAAGTTCTGCTATGTGGCTTTAGACCCCAGGCAAGAAGCAGAGAAGAAGACGGAGGGGGTCTTGAAGCTGCCGGATGGAAACACCGTCAAAATTAACCTCAACCTCTGCAGGCCACCTGAAATTCTTTTTGCGCCAAAAATTGTTGGCCTCAAGGCTTCGGGCCTTCACACCATGATCACCAACAGCATCAGGAAGTGTGACAAGGATATCTGTGGCCTCCTCTACGGGAACCTGGTCCTCTCAGGGGGGTCTTCGCTTTTTCAGGGCATGGACGAGAGGATCTTTAAAGAGATAGAGCCTGAAGTCCCCAACAGAGTTCCAGTGCGAATCATTGCACCCCCAGAGAGATCATGCGCTTCTTGGCTAGGAGGTTCCATTATAACCTCCTTAGTCTCCTTTGTACCGATGTGGATCACCCAAGAGGATTACAAAGAATTTGGCGCCGCAGCAGTCCACCGCAAATGCTTTTAAGGTTTGAAGTCACATCCAAACCAGAGCCTTCAGCGAGGACTGATAGAGGGCGCATATCAAATGAAATAATCTCACAGATCGAAGTTTTAAAAATTATCGCTTAAATAAAACGATCCCAAAGGTGTTCCTCTGAATAAGTTGTCTTCCCGCTTGTGAGAATATCTTTCATTTTTGCAGGTTTCATACTTCTGGCCCTGAAGGAGCTTTCAAGGCGGAGAAAAGGGCAGATTCCTTTCCTGATGTTGTCAAAGAATATTTGAATGAAGGGAACTTTTACAACGTCCAGAAAGTTGGAAGCCAGGCCCAGAGAATAAGATTTGAGGGAGGCTGTGTGAAGAAATGTTGGGGGAAAACTGAAGTACACACAGTAATTAGTTTCAGCGTATTCACTTCCTTATCAAGCCTAAACTTATCCCACTACTTTAACAAAACAAATAACGTATAACCCAGTTAGCATATAAAATTGTAATTTTTGGCACAGTTACCGAGTTCAAAAGAATATTTTCTGTGAGCAAATCTGCAAATGTACTCAATAACAACGGAGAGCCCTGCTGGATTATTCCAGTGGTTCGTGTAGTCCAGCAACCTGTTTTAACACAGTAGTCAACCAATTGTCCCAAAGGGCCAACAAACAGAGCAGAAAGACCCCTCCCCAGCTGCTGCCTCCCAGGGCTGATATTCAGAGGTTGACCCCTTGATAGACGGAGGCTTCCTTCAGTCACCATGGCTAGTATCCACTGATTAACCTCTCTTCCATGAGTTTGTCCAATCCCCCTTTAAAACCACCTACATTCATTCATAAGGAGCCGCGGTGGCTCAAGTGGTTAAGGCGCTGAACTGCAGGCTGTGGAAGGTCGGTAGTTCAGCAGTCTGAGACCCGAGTGTGCCGCATGACGGAGTGAGCTCCCGTCTCTAGTTCCAGCTCCTGCCAACCTAGCACTTCGAAAGCAAGAAATTGCAAGTAGATAAATAGGTACTGCTTCGGTGGGAAGGTAACAGCGTTCCGTGCCCCTTGGTGTTTAGTCATGCCGGCCACATGACCACGGAAATGTCTTCGGACAGCGCTGGCTCGTCGGCTTTGAAACGGAGATGAGCACCACAACCCTAGAGTCGGACTCGACTGGCTTTCGAGCAAGGGAACTTTTACCTTTTTACATTCATAGGTATTGAAGGACAAGGGACCAGTGAATGCGATTGATGAATGTGATTTCTGATCTTTCTCTTGGCAGGTAAAATGACAGCTGTCACTGTTCCTTATTAGGAGTCTGATTAAAGTGAATTTAGATTTTAATATTTAGCCCAGACAGAAGAGTTGTAGAGTAGAACTAATTAGGGTATTATTTTAATAGTTTTAAAGGTCCTTTTCTTAGAGTCAGAAAGTAATGGAATGTATATTTGAAATTATAAGCTATCCAGTTGAAGGGCATCTGAGAAGCTAAGCTATGAGAGGGCAAGAGTCTGAGTGTTCTCAAAACAAATATCTTTCTGTGTAGAGCAGAGCATCTGGCCCCAGAAGGTCTGCAAAGGGATACGTTTTGTACATCTTGTCAGGAAACTCCCTAGCTTCAGGCTGAAGCAGATAAGCCAGGAATGATGCCAAAATTCTGCGATGTTTCCCCCTGTCCCGGGACCAGATAAGCAGACGCAGTGACGGACACTTGAGATCCCGATAGGGGTTTGCCAATAGAGATGTGCCAGCTCAAATGATGCTCTGATGATGATACCCTGTCAAACACCAATTCAGGACTTCCTTCTGTGTAAACTGTCATGATGTCATTTGGGGTATAAGACCTACTGCCCTTTCTGGTTGGGGTAGAATACAGCTTGGTGTTACTGGGTGCCAAGGTATTCAGTCCTGTATTTTCCTGAGTATTGCAATAAACAGTTATTTATCTAGCTCTCTGGACTCCCAACTGTGTGTTCCTCATTTGGCCCTGGGAGCACACGGGGCACAGATTTGTGCATCAGTATCACTACCTCCACTATTAGCCCCAGGGAGTAGAAAACTGCAGCATATAAGTAGGATTGCCAATTTTGGGGTGAGAATTTCCTGGAGATTGGGTGTGGAATCTTGGGAACGGTGGGGTTTTGGGAGTGTATAATGCCCTAGAGTCCACTCTCCAAAGCAGCCATTTTCTCCAGGGGAACTGATCTTCTGTTGTTTGGAGATCAGTTGTAATTAAGGTTGCCAGGTAGAGCCTGGCTGCTGTTGGAAGCAGTGGGAGTGAGGATGGGTGTGTGTGCGACACTGGTGAGCAATGATCCCTCTAAGCCGTGGAGTCTTGTGAGCAAAAATTCTACTTTGTGAGCTACTGCCATTAAAGTTGTGAGCGAGCGATTTGGCTACTGCATAAATTAGTTTGCTCTGGAGCCATTCTTCCTGAGCTAACACCAAAAGTGTGTGAGCCGGAGGCTAAAAAACTGTGAGCTAGCTCATACTAACTCAGCTTAGAGGGAACACTGCTGGTGAGGTGAGGACATCGCTTCTGGGTAAAACCACAGAGTTTCCTGGCAATTCCTAGAGTTAACCTGTGTCAACAGCTTGGACCCAAAGCGATGTAGCAATGTTGCTGCTTTTTAACATTCCAGGGCTATTTTTGGGCAGGAATG